CTGGATGGGGGGGGGGGGGGGGGGGGGTAGTCACCTCTAAAAAATTCGTCTTGAAGAGGGAAGAGGAAGTGTACGAGTAATTTCTTTTCCTTGACCCTTGCTTGTGTGTGTGTCGATGGCGTTTGCCTTGTACAAGCCATGTGTGGAGCACCTCAAGTCTAAACGTTCTCAGCCGGGCGGGCCGGGGTACGTGACTAACCAACCACGCGCGTGATCGATGTGCACGCACACACGTTTTCTTGCTGGATACAAGCCATGCTCTTGTTTGTTTACGGGGTAGCACCATGTTCAGCCCGGCGAGCTCTCGCTGCTAGTAGACTGCTGTTCACGGGATTGATTTCCGTTCGGACGGCTCTATACGAGCTGCTGGTGGTGATGGCGATTTCGTTCCGCGTGCGTTGTGGTCAGCAGGGAGCGGGCCGGACGCTTGCAGGGAGGGTAGGGCGCGGGGGGGGGGGGGGGGGAGTTAAACTGGGAAAAAAAACCCGGGGGGTCCCGGAAAGGGGGGCATCCAACGGGTTGGGGGGCCTTGGTTTCCCCCCTTTCCCCCCTTCCCCCCAGGAAAAAACAACGTACTCTGTGGATAGTTTGATTGTTGGACATGAATGTGATGATAGGGGCGCCGCCGAGCCTCGAACTCATGCGGGGCGGGGGAGCGGGGGGAGGGGGCTTCCCCGATCATGTGCCTTGTTATGTAGCTTACGTGAGGTTTGGTGAGGGCGGGTTGTTTCGGGGAACCTCGTTTTCTTTTTCTTTGTTCTTTGTGTCTATGTCAAGCATGATTAACGGCGTAGTCTAATTACATAACACAACATTGTCTAAGCCGCGTACAATCATGGTACGTGTTTTGTTTTCTCTCCTGGCTTGAACAATTGTCCTACTAAGTTTTGATTTTTTGACTTGCTCTGTATTTTACGGGCACTTACCGTCCTTGCTGTACACAGGGAAAAAAAATGGTGCTCTCATTTTGATAGGGACTTTCGTGACTGCATTTCTCGGACTGTCCCGTGCGTTGTTTTGCTGTTGAATCGGCGGTAACGTCGGTTCAACAAGGATATTAGAGAACCCGGGGGGGAGGGGGGGGGGGGGGGCAGCGAGAGGTGGACGGTGTGGTAGCTGCGGCGCCCCCACAACTTGCAGGCCGGGTCCGGTGCTACAGGCCGGGTGGGGTACGCCCGGATCGTCGATGACAGAGTGGCCGGTCCGTCTGGTTGCCGGACCTCCTTCGAAAATGCTGATGATGCTCGGGCTTGTTTTGATTAGGGGTGGCGTTCGTTCGGAACGAAGGCCGTTCCGGACCATTATAGTTCTAAATAGTGTTCTGCTACAATATGCAGAAAAAAACTGGGCGGGGAAAAGCATTAGTTGTTCCTTGTGTTCTTTGGTGCGCACTCAAACGTGTTCCTTTTTTTTCTTTTCTTTTGTGGTCGATACACACTCTGGCTTGCTCAAGTTTATCGTCTATTGCTTGGTGTGGGGTTGTGCAGACATGGTACTAGAGCCCCACCTCACCCCACCCCATCGGTTTCCTTCTGCCAACGGCTGGTGTCAAAATGGCAATAAAGTGCTTTTTGGTGCTTGCTGTCTTACGCGTAGGAAGAGAGGAGTACAATTTTTCATGAATGAACAATTTGTCGGTTTTGGCCACGTTTGGCGGCGTTGCCTTCTTGGGAAATGGTTTCCGGAATCTCCCACCTGTTTTCGCGGCTGCTGCTGCTGCTGCTGCTGCTGATGTATCAAGACCAGTTTTTCTTGGGGCGACCTTCTCCACGTTCTTGGGCTTCGAAAAGACACTGAAAACGGCGAAGCAGCCAAACCCGCTCAGGGAGAGCAACACTGGCAGTTGCCTCAAATGGCGCCGCTCCGTGTTTGTGTGTGTAGTCGTTTTTAAACGTGTGTCGATCGAGAAGTCAGTGTAGCACCTCCGTTTAATTTGCAATTTAGTTCTGATGGATGCATTTATTTTGGGAGGGTGGGTGGTAGGTGGCAGGTTGATTCCAACTAACGACATATTTCGGTTCATGCTTGGGAATATGTATATTTATTATGTGGTGGATGTCAGCAGAAAAATGCGGAGATTTCGACAATTATTCGATGTGATGACGAAAGATGCGGTGGAAGTCGCACACGGTTGCTTGCGCATGCTGAATGTTAAAGCATCGCTCATCATCTGATCAGCAAAACGCTCGTGCCCTGCGCGCCGGGTCGCGACCCTAGCACGTCACTCTTTTTCGGGAAACAAAAAAGCGAAACTGCTGTGCAGTGTGTTTATTCCATGTATGTATACCGTCGTCTCGATCGATGGAGCTATGTTACCGGAGTGCCAAGTCAGTCAGGCGGGCGCAATGGAATGGACACACCGCCGACATTTGCTTTCACATCGATATATAATGCACCTCGTCGGCAAAAAGCTTCATAGTCCCGCCCCCCGTGTGCACTCCGAGCCCCCCCCCCCCTCCGCTCAGACACGAACACCGAGTACGACCTTTTCTTCGATCGATGGATGTGATTGATCATCGGGGGAGTTTGGAAACTTCTGCAGGGCGTCATCCTTCTACACCAGACCAGCCGTTACCATGCGGCATCATCCCAGGAGTGTGCAGCGAACCAAAATCTCTTCCTGGGGGCAGGTATTAGGGGGGGGAGGGGGGGGAGATAGAGGACTGACGAGAAGTATCCGCACACCGGTGTACTACAGACAGACGTTGGACGCACCGTTCTATTTTCGACGCCCTGCTGATGTCTCTGGTCCCCTTCGCGTACGCCCGGTGATGGCGTGTGGTCGTGCCAGCTACTAGTGGATGCTCTTCTCAAGGACATACATACATAGATCATCATCATCGTTGACAGGTGTTTTCTGTTTTTTTTTGTGTGTGCTGTGCGTGATCGGTCGTCGGAATCAGGGTTCCCACAACACGGCCTCGAGGGCGATGGAGGCGTGCTTTACGATCATGAGGTCCGCGCTTCTCTGCAGCCTCCGGATGGCCGGTAGGCAAGCCGTGTCCTCTTTCAGCTCGGCTCGGATGTCTGCGTCGTCACGCGCGGCAAACGAGAACAGGCGGAACGCCATATCGGATGGTTCGAACATATCTATCTGTGCTTGCTGCTGGAGACAGAATGACACTCAAGCTAGTACTTACTACAATTGTTTGCATTCATCTAGTGCTCCCCCCTCCTTTCGTTGCTGATAGAGATGAACGTGTGTGTGTGGGGGGGGGTTCTTCGTGTGGCCACGCACAGATATTCTTCGATAAATGGATGTGGTCAAAACGCGTTTCGATGTTGCTCTCTCTCGTGGAGGTTTCATGCATAGTCTACACACTCATTGTTTTCGAGTTGCCCAGACGCACTGAGACTACTGGCGTTTTTTCACTGGTCAAGGGCGGTCGATGCCAATAAAACACACACACACACACAACACACTGGTAGACGCGTGCAGCTTTCTTCTGTTGCTACCGTTTCTGTCTTTGATCCGGAGAATAGATTATAGTCTCCCCCATGCTGCCCCCTCACGGGGCCCCAGGTAATGGCAATTAGAAGTTTAAGTGTTTTCTGTTTTCAACCGCACTAAGACTGACGTATTTTCATTGGTCAGCCAGTTAGCGCGGTCGATGCTAATACAATAATAAAAACACACACACAATACACCCACGTACTCGGCGTTCAGCCTACTGTAGAGTTAGCCAACCATAAAGCCGTATCATTTCTATCCCCCCTCCGTGCCTCCCTCCCTCCTTTCCTTTCTTCCTTCTCCCCTTTTTAGAGCCCACCTCTCTCTCCTTCTCACCACCGCCTACTACCCCAGGCCAACCCACGCCGTCACGCGAAGACGATTGATTTCTGTGCCGCAGGCGCGGGGGGTAGATTCGTTTGTCTTTCCTTTTCGCCCCCCTTTTGCTCAAACCTGGGTGGGCGGCAATGCTCGCGATGAGCTTGAGAGCGTTGAGCAGCAAGACGTCGTCGAGCTCGCCGAGCGCTTTCACCGACTCTTCGGCTGCAGAGGTAGACAAAATAGCGCGCTTTCCTGCGCAACATCAACGAGAAGATGGTACGCGTAGGGAAAAGGGGGACCACGGGGACGAACGAATGGGGACGGACGTCTTATTCGCTTTTACTTCGTGCCACACACTATCTACACTTGCTTGCTTGTTGTGTGGTCGATTAACCATTGGTCTCCTACGCAACTGCTACATCGTCTCACTTTGGAGGTTGGTGAGAGTTGCTTTGAAAGACGTTCGTCGCTTTGAAGCCCCCGCACGTTTGGTTTCAACAACAGCGGAGGTGTGGGGGGCCGATAGCTTGTCGCGCCAAAATCTTAGAAACTCACTACCACTGACTACAACAGCAACGGTCAGCACGATAAAGTAGGACGAGAGTGGGGTGAGCTCAGCGGTTAGTTAATGCTGCAGTCCGGCGTGGACTTGTTGAGGTTGACTCGCCCGCATCCACTGTGGTGATCATCATCAACGCGCCCATGGCCGCCGACCTGACGTCTGTCTCCGCCTTAGAAACCAACTCGGCCAGCATAGAAACCCCGTTGTTCTGTCTCGGGAACCAAAGGTATGTGATTGGCGGGGGGCGGCACGGGCACGGAGGGCCAGCCGTAATGTGGGTTACATGCGAGATGACACGACCGGGACGTGGGGGGGGGGGAAGTCTGATGCAAGCACGCTGAGAGGAGGGGGCGTAGTGGCGATACCGAGTGGGGACTGGCAGCTCGAAGAAGACAGAGTCAGAACCGAGAGGGACGGGAGGGGAGACGTGAAAGCCCAAAGGGGAAAGAGAGACGAAGCCGAGACGGGACGAGACACGACGGGTAGCTGTCGGGGGGGGGGGGGGCGGCATGCCCTTAGACTCTGTTGTGGGATTCGGCTGACGAACGTCATTCTACGGTTGGTTGTCCCTGGCATTTCCCTCTCAATTCCCACCTAGTCTGCCCTTCCCTCACTCGCCCTCCTGTACGGTGTCCTCTCTCCCGTTCGCGAATCTTTTCCTCTCTCTTCTCACCAAGATTGATCACATGGTAGTCAGACTCAGCGATGAATGTTCCATTCTTGGCTTACGACTACTTCAAAACAAAACTCCTGCGAACAGCGAAGGCCATATCCGTGTGCCGCCTTTTCTTTGCACTTGTTGCATGTTGCATGGTGTCGGGTGAAAAAAAAAACGGGTTCCCCCCCCGACAAGCGCGGCCGAAGGCTTGAAAACTGTGAACGATCAATCGAAAAAATGTACACAGGGCTGGACCCTGGGCGATGATCTTCGCCATCATGTCATCGAAGCAAACAACAAACCTGAATGGCAATGATCTTCGCCATGTCGTCGAAGCAGGCGATCGCCAGAGTCACCGACGCCTCCCTCTGCACCTCCACCGGCCTCCCCTCCGTCAACAAGCCTATCAGGTTCTCCACAAGAGACGCCGCGAGCGCCGCCTCCAGGCCTCCCCTGTGCTTGGTCACGTTGCACAGCACCTGTTTTTGGTCGATGCAAGTGACATTCCCATGGACTTTTTACGATGCAAGCAACTTCCCCATGGCCGTCTTCAATGCAAGTACATACTATCATCCCCACGGCGTCGGCGGGGTCTCAATCGTTCGATTGAGGTAGGTTGAACAACGGTGGTTCGAGGAGGAAGGCGAAACGACGATCGCGGTTGGCATCGTCATCATCCTACCGTTGGTCAATTGCAACACACACCCCGCCGGTGTTTACGTACGGGGGCGGGTAGTGGGGGTGGAGCGTCGTCGCGGGAGTCGCTGCCACCAGCACACCTGTCTGTGTTGAAGCACCAGTCACTAGCACCCACCTTCTAGTGGCCAACGAGGCCAACAACCCCCCCCCCAAGGCAATACTTTCGTATGAACCGCTCCGTGAGCTAGCTTCCCCCGTCCCGCCCCCCCCGACGTTGGATTAGCCGAGATGCTCAATCAACCCATGGTATATTTATCTGGTTTTGCACAACAAACGTAAGGATGACGCAATTCTGGTCCTTCCTTGTGAAACGTAGAATTAGGCTGGGCCGGCGAAAACCCGGCATATAGCTCCGTCCCGGGGTTGTAGGGATGCAAGGTCTCTCTATGGTCTACCCACTACGGCATGCGTTTGAACTAATGTTCCCCCAAAGAGATGCCGCCTACGTTTCTCACCCTCAACGCTAGCGGTTGTAGCTCCTCGGTCTCGTTGACCGCCTTGTCAACCAGCCTGGCGGGGTAGCCCGCGTCCACTAACGCACGAGTCCCTGAAACAGGAGCAACGTCGAGACGGCACGGAAGGGAAGGCGTGTTGCACGAGTTGACTCGTTCATCATTATCACATAAAAAATTCGGGCATCGCTTTCGCGCTTCGTCCTGCCATGTGTCTGGTGTGAGTGAGCGCGGGGCACCCGCTTGACCGGAACGCTCAAAGTACGGAACCCCGACAGACGCGAGAGAGCCCCACGACACGCCCACCCACCCACCCCCCGCCCCCCCTCGGCCTGCTCCCTTTCAATCGGAGACAACGGTCCATCGGATGAGATAGTTTTCGGCGACATAGCAACGGGTGGGCAGCCCCTCCCCTCTCGGGCTCCACCTCTCTCTCTCTCTCTCTCTTGTTTCTCATTTCTATCTTTTTAATTTCATCCCATTTTCTCATTTCTGTGGAGACCACCTTGATAAAGGTACAATCTCCCCAACGTCTGTCGAGGACGAAACCCTCTTTTCCACATTTCCTACTTTTCTTTCTCTTTTCGTTTTCTTGCCTGGACCGGTGGTAGAGGCGTTCGCAAGGGCCTCGTATATGTTTCGCCTGACATCCACGCTGCTGTCGTCCAGCGCCTTGAACATCGTCTCCGGTGCTCTCGCCTAGAAGAACCGTCGTGAGCGCATACGTGCACAGCAGGGCAGACCAAGAGGAAGAATGCTCTGTATCCAATGTAGGCGTGCCGCGGTGCCGCAAACAAACACAAGGCTAGGCCAAGTACGTGGCATGACGACCGACTTGGACCCGCGACCATTCCTTTCAAGATGAAACCGTGTTGAAGAGCTACGACGGCGACGACGAGGCAGAGGGAAGCGATACCCCCCCGCTACAGTGAGGATGACTATATACAGAGAGAGATTTATCAAATGTCGTACTCAGGTGCATGCACTCGGTTGGAGATTGCCTAACGCGACCCCCTCGCGGGACACTGCCGGCATCAGTACACATCTCCTTACCGTTACTGCTTCTGGTAGCCGTTGGCTCGGTGAGCTGCTACAACTACTGGTAGCTGATGGGTCGGTGAGCACTGCGCTCTTGCCTTGAGCAAGGCAGTGCGACCTACTGCTACTGGTAGCTGTTGACATGGTGAGCTGCTATGCCAATGGTAGCTGTTGACATCGGTGAGTGTCGCTGTTCTTGCCTTGAGCAAGGCGGTGCGACCGTTGTAGTCCCTCGCCGCAGCAACCATCGCCTTCGAAGAGAACTTTCTCGTGTCTATGTCCGAGTCGAGGGCCATCTTCGGCAAGGTGCTGGAACGCGCGCAAGAGAGAGTTTGCCGGTTGTGCTGCTGTTCACGACAATGACCTTAGTTAGTTAGAAACCTTGTCGGATATATCCCCAATGCATGTTTTAACGCAATGCTTCGACTATCTGGTGCCTTTATAACGACCCCAGGTAGTGAATTTGGATGGACACATGCTACCACCAAGTTAAGTACAAGTGACGTCGTGTAGCTGCTCCCGAGGCGCTCATGAATAGCCCCCATACATGTGGGGGTACGGGACTAATGCGGCTGGCCTAGTTCGTGAGCTACGTGTTTCTGCGTGCTTAGGATACTGAACAATCCGAAGGAGGGGGTAGATGAAGCAAAGACCGCCTCCGGTGCTTACAAACCGAACGTGAAAACTCGTGTGAGTGCGTTTTCAAGATATCCAAGGGACACATACTATGTCGCCAAAGCGCTGGTGAAGACGCTGGTTGCTCCCCAACCAAGAGGCTTCCAGTGCCGAAAAGGGTGGTTTTGGAAAGATCTCATCGAGAGTTTTTCCTTGCGAATGTCGGTCGGATTCGCACGCGCTTGGTTGTGGAGTAACAATCTATCTTCAGCACTCGTCGAATACCTGCGCGTTCACCCGGTGCTCTAACGGTATATGCATGCGCCGAACTCACCTCATAAGACCAGCCTTGACACTTCCAGCAATGATGGTGGGGTTCTTGAACTCTTCGCACAGCACCCTGAGCGTGTTGACCCGAACCAAGAGGCTGTCGCTCCGCACCTAGGGGACACACCATTCTGAAGGTGATCGTCATGACTGTATGCCAAAGGGTTTGATGGCACCGGAGTGGTGACCGGTCACCCCTCGCACGGTGACCTATATCGAAGCCCTCTGTGCCCATGCAGCACACCTCACCAGACAAGAAGCGCTGTAGCTCATGCAGGGCCAAGCTCCCGCGGCCGTTGTGCGGGTTTCACCCAGGTAGCACAACACATTGTGATGACGAAGTCACGGGTTCTTTGCCAACGATTGCGATGTTTTCGCATTTCTTTCGTAAAGATATTTTTTCTACACCACCACACTTTGTATATTGCTTGCGACTCGTCCTGCTGAGCAGTGTGGCAACATCATCTATCTGTCTTCAACGCGCATCGCAAAGAACCCGACAATTGCGCGAACCTGCTGGACTCCGTTGGAACTAAACCGTTCTCCAGTCTGCAATATTAAGCCGTCTACGTTTACGTACTGCTGTGACGACTGGCTGTTGTTGTAAACATCAGATCAGCACATCAGCACGTGCATGTTTGGTATTTCAAATTGCAATTGAAAAATTGTCCATGTTCATAAATAGCGAAGCACAAGATGTAAACATCAGCACGTGCGTGCATGTTTGGAATAAAAAATTGTCGAGCGAAGTACTTCTTCTACGGTAGGAGTATGCTATGTAGAAGTACAAGATAGAGCCGTTTTTCTTGCCCATGCCCACTCCGAATACATACATGGTTTCTCCCATACGCCATGGCGCATTGTGCAGAGGATACACCATTTCTCCATCATTTCGCACATCACGCTTTGCCGCAACAACAGGCTGGTTTCATGTACAATAGGTGACTCCTAAGTACTGCACATTGACTATTTCAGTACATCACACCTGCTCTGCAAGCTTAGGGCATTTTCCCAACCCAAATGCCTCCACGATCTTTCCGGGCTCATTCGCAGTCGGCTGCGGCTTCGCCTCATACCGATAGACCCGGTTCTCTATCGCCACCTCAGCCATGATGCTCAGCACGGGATCTCTTTCGTCCAGGTACGCGGCCGTCGGAGGTGTGTGGACAGCCGCGAAGCGACGTGCAAACGCGGCGGAATCATTGTTTCGCTGTCGTCCGAATAATCAAATCTCCGATCGATAGGAGCTGCAGCAGTTATGGATCCCTTTGATTTGTTTGGTAGATTTGGTGCTCGACGAGCAACATTAACTTCTCGGGAGGTGTGTGCGTCGCACGGTCGATATTTCTTCGTGGCGCACCTTCGCACCTTTTCTCTCGCCGGATGGTCACCGTACGGCTGCTGCGCCTGCCTGCCGAAGAGTGAAGTTTTGTGCCGTGGTGGGGGCTCAGGTGTTTTGAATACAACCCAGAGTGCTATTCGTAGGCTGGGCGTCGAAGCGGTGCGCTGAGAATGCTGTCGTCGTCGTCGTCGTCGTCGTCGTCGTCGTCGTCGTCGTCGTGTCGTCGTACCTTCGGTTTCAAGTTCAACTACAAACTAGTGTAGGATCACTGGCGGGAGGCGTTTTGGTTCAGTACACCGGGCACTCGAGCGCGCGCGCAGAGTTCAGTTATTTTATCGGATTTTTCGCGCAGCGAGACACAACATCCATCCACACACCACAACGCGTCGTCCGCCTGCGGCCAGTGACATCTGAGTCGCACAAGCCTGCCTGCCTAGCTCTTGCTTCACGGTGCTCTAACTTCCGTTTTCGTCGGCAGTCGCCAGAGGCTAAAACAGGTGAGGACGCCGGTTTTGAGAAGAGTCTCCGTGCTGCGGACTACGGGATGGTTTTTAGTCTTTTCACGCGTACAGCAGTAGTAATCGATTTGCAGTCCGTTTTCCTCGAGACCAGGCCATGCTGTCCTCGCAGATCGCGATGGGCACACTTGACACACAGCAGCCGCCGTTCGAAAATGAGTGTCGCACCATCTCACAACGGTTGCTTCTTCTTCACGTCTCGCCATTTTCTGCAGCAGGCTGCTTTGTGTTCCTTGTTTGGTCGTGCCGACCAACTATCCTTCCTCGGCTCGGAGGTGTCTCGCGAAGCTGGTAGTTACCGTTTGAACGTCAACATGTGATTTCGCAAGCTGAGATGTATGGCAGCTCGCTGTGCCGACCTCCGCACCCTATGCAGCAGCCTCCATCGCCGATTCAAACACACTGTACGACTCTCGTTCCTCGAAGCTCAACCAGCCAGCATCAGTCGCTGGTGGTTCGTCGGTCGGCCAACCGCTGCTGCCATGGATACAGTACGTGCATACCATTACCATTACATGTGTGCAACTGCTCGGTCAAATGGAATGATACGTCCTAAACACATTTTGTATCGTTCGAGCGATGTGTCGTCAACATATCTGCAACTCGGGCGAGCCACAAGAAGGCGGCACGGTAGAAACCGGTACCGCTGTTGTTGTATTGCCCTACATATAAAAAGTGCATGCTACATCCTCGAAGATCCAGAAGTCACGTATTTTACTTTTCACCCTCCCGGGGAAAGGGTGTACATAAGTGGACGGTACAAATATCGATCACGGTTCCACTAGTAGAAGTGTGTCAGAACAAATTGCGCCATTTTGATCCCTTGGTTTACTAAATAGTTCTACAGCTCCGTTGGGTAGTCAATGAAGCGCGGAATAATTTGCTTCAATCACTTGACTACAGAATATAGCACATGGTTCGAAGTGTGATACGTACAACAAGTATACCATCCGTGGACCTACGGTTGTCGTGGGTCCACAGTTTCCTGGTATCGCAAGGTCGAAGAGTGTCAACAACTACTGAAGCACATTATTGCACACGAAGAGTCGAAATATATCAACGTACGGAGAAATTCATATAACGTACTTTTTCGTATTTCAATAACCCTCTTCGTCGCCAAAGTAGCATTGATGTCTGTCAGGTCATCCCCCCGTTCCCTACAAACCAGCACGCTAGCTAACGAAACACCTACACCCAACCTCCACAAAAATGAAGGTGTCGTCGCGCGCATAAGCGACTGCCATCAAGGAATGGCCGACCGCACGCACCTTCACAGAGCCGCCCAGCGAGGAGACATCGGCGCGGTCCGCGCCCTGGTCCAGGCGGTCGACGTCAACCTCCGGGGCGGCTGGCGGGTAGAGTCCCCCCTCCACGCTGCCTCCAGGGCCGGCAAGCCGGACGTCATCGCGTGCCTCGTGGGAGCCGGGGCCCACACCGAGGTCCGAGACCGGAACAACGACACCCCCTTGCTCCTTGCGGCGTGGCTCGGGCACGCGACGGCCATAGCGAAGCTCCTCGCCTCCGGCGCCCGGGTCGACGCCGACGGGATCCCCCGCAGCGCCCTGCACTGCGCGTGCATGCAGGGGCACGCGGCCTGCGTCTCGGAGCTGCTGCGAGGAGGGGCCGACGAGACCGTCGAGGACGAAGACGGCAACTCCCCGGCCCAGGTCATCGGCACCATGTCCGAGTCCCTGGAGCGCGCCGAGGACATCGTGCTCATCCGCGAGATGCTCCGCCGCGCCCCGGCCGACCGCGCCTGGCGGCGCCGCGGGTGGCTGGTCATGCTGAGGAACCGCGACTGCGTCGCAGCGGGCCTCCTGCCATCCGCGCGGCCGCCGCCGACTACGGTAACGACCAGGAGCGCCGCGAGACGCGGAGCTCGGGTCTGGGCGATCGACGGTGGCGGCAGCAGGTCTATCGCCGGGGCGGCGACGTCGCCGGGGTTCTTCGAAGGGCAGGGCCTTACGACCGGCCATATTCGTAATCATCATCAGCTGAAAGTGCATGGGAAGAAGAAGAGCTTTGGGGCACCGGGTGTGACGGTTGCTGGTAGTCGCGGCGGGGGCGGGAAGGCGCCGCGCAGCAGACGGTCGCCATCGGCGGGGGGGAGCAGCGGCAGCGGTAGCTTCTGCCCGCCGGGCAAAGGACACGTTTCGAGTAACAAGAAACGGCCAAGAGGAGCGGCGAAACGTCGGGTCGGAAAACGCGGCCGAGGCGGTGCCGAGAGCGAAGAAGAGCTAGCAGGTAGACAGGCTCTGGCGAGCCTCGTCGCGCGACTGATCGGACTCGGGGAGGAAGGCGCGTTCCGCTGCGTGCTAAGCTTCCTTTGACAGGTTGGAGGTACCAGCATATGGAGACGCTCGGTGACATGGACCGACTCCACAGAAGGTCTGCTTGAACCCGGTTTGGAGCTTCCATGTGGTCATGATGTCGGGGATGTGCTTACCATACGAATTTGCACCCAAAGTTGGTGTGATCGGTAGTACAGAACGGGGTGTCGCATTCATTGCTGTAGGCAGAGAAACAATTTTGTTGATGTTTAAGACGTTTACGGGCAGGATTGAATTTTAGACCCCAAGCAACTACATTTTGCAAGACTGCTTTGAAAGGACTATGTGCCACTAAGATGTAACTCACAGAAGAAAGAGAATTGATATGAATAAAATTACGAGGAACTCCCGAGCTCTGGATGAATATATTGAGATCGGTCTTCATCACTGCGTGTGTGACCAGCAGGGTACGGTTAACCCTATGATAGAGGCATCGGACGATATCTTTTATTTTTTGTTGTGCTGAATCCGCTGAGCCTTTCGAAATTCGAAAAAATACAAAATCGTTTATAATACCTAGGCAGGGATTTCTGTTAGCAGCTGGTACCACCAACACCACATTGGGAGGAGGGAGAGGGGGGGTGTATTTTTGCGTGCGCACGCCGCTCTTCGTCGTGCACATACACTCGATGTTCTCAGTAGGTCTACCCAATAGGCATGATTGTGCCTTGCAGCAGCAGCTGGTAAGGTGGGAGGCAGGTAAGTGTATAGACATAGAATATCATTGGGTTTTGATCAGACGACTACATGTATGCTTATCTATATGATCGTCGACGAATTCGGAGCGCCGGTTTCATTTGGTTGGGGGGGGTCGTCGATAGTATCGTAAGGTTCCACAACCTTTTTGTTCGAGGCTTTTCTGCAAAATGGCGGGAGGTTGACCTGGCGCAGGAGATTGACCTGGCGCGGATGTCCCTACGGGTGTGTACAATTGCCGGGCTCCATTGAGAACATTTGGAGGTTTCCTCGGATGGTTGAGGCTACCGCTCCTAGATGGACAAGGAAGCCCTGCGGAGTCTGCACGATGTAGCCCTTAATCTATCAGTATCTGTCAGGTGTGGTGTAAATATGATGGTACGCTTAGTTTGTCTGGCGATGGTGCGCCGACGTGATTAGCAATATTCTGCTAAGAACCATAAAGACTAACTAATAACGTGCAAGGAGGATACGAAGAAGAAAGTGGTGGGTCTCAACGCATATATATATGCCAACTACCACCAGGAAAGCGTGCAGATGCGGATGTAGATGTTCGAGTGGAAACAAACGCTGGCAGTATCACGAGCAAGAAATTATGGCTCGGACGAGCTGATACGCGATGGCAGACACTTCTCTTGCACTCAAAACATAGTCGAAGTATGTTTGAGGAAACGTCACACGCCCATTTCCATTGACTGCCGTACGTGCCATCGCGGTTCGCAATATAACCCTGAACTGGTAACATAGGTGGAATCTGTTCCGCTGCGTCTTGTCCTCAACTCGACCCGTCGAGGGCACCCGGGGAAGAACGCGCTCCCAAACCACGGCACCACTCGCGACGGAAATCAAATCGCCAGTTCGCGGCCGCTATTCAATGATGGCCAACCCAATCACCAGCGATGATATGTGTTGTCTGCGGTGTAAGGTTGTGTTGCTCCTGCAGTTTCCAGATAGGGACCACCACTCCCCTTGCTGCAACCGCAGCCGCGGGATGCCACGTAGCACCACTAAAACAATGTATTGCTCGGCGGACGTGATGTATCTTTGCATATATGCTGTACCTCGCCTCCGAAATTCTTCTCTCGCGATTCGCCCTCTGATGGACACGCTTCATCTTGATTACGGTGCCCTTGGTCTAGACAACGGGGGCCAACTTGTTGCCCTTATACCGACGAAACGGTCGTGTGCACGAGCGGAGAAGAAACCCTGGTGCTCGTCCTTTTTTCCCACTGCTTTTTTTTTTGCGCGAGAAAATTGCATCCCTTCGACAGGAGGTGCAACTTGTATCGGTGAGGCCAATTTTTGTCCATGAGACTGACCCCACCCCCCACCCCCATCCCCCGGTGAGGAGGCTGCTCGTTGAAACAGCGATAAAACGTGTTTGACCATGCGCCGGGGAAAGGAGGAACGATTGGAGATTTGCGGGGAACCCGCAGACAAAGACATACATACAAATACAATGTATCGGTAATGTGATTTACACCTCTTCTTCCATGTAATCACCGCGAAGCTGTGTGGAACTTGTCCGACCACAGATAGATGCAGATTTGCTTTCCTTTGTTCTCTCCTTGATTTGGCTCTTCTATCGCCTTACATGCACGCCATCATGCAGCCGGAATCCAATACAAACCGATTGCACTATGCACAGAAGGGCACACACGACCCGGCATAAAGCGGGAATCTTGCATGGCGTCATGTCACAACAACATCTGATAACGCCACACAACCATGGTGATGCACGACAATATGACTACCTGCAAATACCGCAACACTAGCCCAATCTGAGTGCAGATACAGACGCAAACCTCGGAGGGGCTCCAGTCAATCAAGAGGTTTAGGGAATGGATCGAAGATTCGGCGACTCAAAACCCTCACCCACACCACTTCCACACTACCAAAACCAAGAGAGCGGGGAAAAATAGCCAGGGACGGCGAAGTCGGCGGATAAAATCGGGAAAAGGGCACACGTGGGGTGCGAACAAGAACCGAAACATCCGAATCAACGGCCACAAAAAACGAACTCACGCAGGGAAAAAACACAATCTCGGGCGAACGAAGAGGTCGAGGGCTCGATCAAGAAAACCAAAACCCCACGGTAAGGGGAGCTACTATAATAGTCTAGACGAGCTCAGTAGAAGTACACGGACCAAAGGAAAACCTAGCCTGGAACGACATGTGATCGAAATGAAAACGCGTGAAGGGTTGGCCAAGAATCGAACTAACGCACTGAAAGAGGAGGTTTCCGGAGGAAACAGTCAAGAAAAGCCAAACTGACAGGATAGTGACGATACGCCATTGCAACATCCGCATGTCCCGAGAAAACGTGCGTGCGAGTGATCTCAACAATCCAAGTCTCGTTAAGGCTAAACAGTCTGAAATAATGCGTGATGTTTGTGACTGCATTCGGTACTGGCGCAAAAACTCTTCAAACGAAGTTCCATTGGGAACGCCAAACGCATTCAGCTTTATCGAGGCGTCTCCACGGTCTTCATGCTTGAAAGGGGACGCGATCAGACAAAGAAGGTGCTAGACGGCGTCTCCTCCGTTCCTATCGTCGTCCAGCCGTTGTTTCACCTGCACAAACATACTATCGATAGAACCAATGAGGTCACCTGTGGTGGTTTTGGTCGGTGTGACGGCATGAATGCTGTTTTTTCTTCAGCGGGTGTTCCCAACCGCGAATCCACGAATCGGATTTTCAAATTCGATAAAGAAGGGTCAGACTGTTGCAAGATCTCTAACGCTGCGGACGTAATACCAGGGTCTATTAATAGCAATTGCGGCACTGCCTGTTTCAGGTTTGCCGACCAGGGGTGGCGGGTTGGATACGAATATCCCTAAATAGTTAGTCTTTACGTCTACCTCGCGCTGATCTCACGGAGTCGCGCGGCAGCTACGAGCGCGTCAGCAGTGTCTAACTCCACTGTACTTTGCGAGCACGAGCTGTGACCGACGACAACGGGCGGCCAGCGATATCTACGAAGGAACTGCTGTTGCGCGACGTCAATGATTGATCACTACGGCAACAACACGCAAAGACGACACTTGCCTTACTTGCCTGTCAGTAAGTATTGCGGCGAGGGGGTGGTCGACCTGATTCTCCACTACTTCTGCCGTGGTGGCGACGTATTCCTCAACCGGCGAGTGCTCCGACGGCCGTGATGCATCCGAATCGCACGATCTGGCTCCTCTCCGAGGGCTACAACTCCAGCCGCGGGACATGTCAACCCTTTGGTTGTCTCCGGTCGAAGCCGCTGGAGCCTTCATACGCTCCGCAGGCGTACCGCCAAAGGCGTTCTGCTCTTTGGCGCTGCCACGAGTCTGCGTTATAGGGCTATTGGTGGTGTGGATACGGTAGCACCGCTGTCGCCGGTGCCAGAGGACTTCGAACCGCGATGGCCGCGTTGATGTGTTCCTGTTGGGCGGGAGTCATCGATGGCTTCGGCTGTCTCGTGTTACCGGCGACCCTGTCCGAGTTGTCCGCGTTTTCTCGACGCACCACGTCCACGGCTGCTGTGGCTGTGTGAGCTGCTGCTGTCGTGGGCGTGCTCTATCTTGACCCTGCGCCACGTGACGGTCCGGAAATCGCCGTGTGTCTTGGCATAGTCCGCTGAGGCGCCAAAATTGCTGCCGGGAGACTCCAGTCGACTTGGTCGGGGTGGCAACCGCCGTTGAGATTGGGGTACGCCGTCCTCAGGTCATAGAGGAGTTGGCTGCAACCTCTGCTGGTGACGGGTCCGGGTTTCGCTTGCTTGATGTGGCCCAGGAAGTGGCGGATCGTGGCGAAGTATTTTCTTTTCACGCTCAGTTTCGCTGCCAAGGAGGCCGCGGTCACCATATAACCGGCTTCCCCATGTTCTTCGATGAATAAGTGTTGGTGTACTTGCGCAAATTCATTGACCGGCACGTCGATGGACCGCTCTTCTCTGCGTCTAAGACTGAGGTCCCTTGGCTCATTTGACTAAAGGACGGCTTCGCGGGCGCGTAGCCATGCCCCGCGAGGGAGATGGGTGCCGTCCGTGCCAGACCTTGCCGCTGCGGCTGCGCGCTGTTTCCCTCAGAGGGACCGGTGGGCTGGAGCTCCGAACCAAACTCGTGTGAGCCGGCGAGCGGTGAGAGAGTGCTCCAAACCTGATCCCGAAGGATCCGCGAGCTACAGCAGTAGTGCTGCGAACCAAACTCTTTCCGAGTTGATCAGCTGTTGTTGGCTCTGCAAAACGTATCCCGAAGGAGAGGTGAGAGCGTGCTTCAAACCTGATCCCGAAGGATCGGCGAGTGGCACTGACACAGCCGTCAGGGTGTGGCGTTGTGCCAGGACTTTTTGGCTTGGGCGTCGGCGGCCGCGTGTGCTTCAAGAGCACACTCAGCCGCTTTCGCGGTCGCTTCCCGCTGCTGCAGCTGGCGGATTTGCGTGTCCAAGCGGCGTGTTGTGGCGGTGGTGGCCTCTAACGCCGACGCGGCCTCGCGGGTCCGCCGATGGGCCTCCTCGCGTACAAGTTCACGCACATGTGCTCGGCGCGGCGTTTCTCTGTCTCCAGGTCGGAGAACATTTTCGACTGCCTGTTCATTGCTCAGGTTGCAAAAGACTGACTGTGTGTTCAGAAATGCCGGCATCGGCTACACCGGGGCAGAGCTGACTTCACCCATGTTGACGTCACCGGCCATGTCGGCCGCCCCCTCCCCCGCCAGGTCTTCCGCAACGGCGGGTGCCGGAGGATCTCCGGTCGGCGCTTCCGCCGCGGGGTGGAGCTGGTCATCCTCAACACATGCAAAGAACATGCATGTATATCGTCTATCACCAGTCAGTCCCAGAGGGGGACCTCATCACCGAGAAAGCTCTGCTGGCTCCGCCAGTTCCGTAGGCTCCTGCCAGCGACCTTGCTCCTGGCGGTTTGGTGTTGGCATTAGGCTCGAAGCGAGAACGAGAGAGCCAGCGTGGGGTGGTTGAAGTAAATAGCCGTCTCGCTGATTTCGTGCGGTTGGGTGTGTGTGTACAGTTTTTCGTCGTCAAGCACCGATTCAGGTCTGGGGCTAGCCAGCAGCACGAGTTCATGCCATATTATGCTTGCTGTGCGTGGCGAGAAGTGGCGAGGGCGGTGGGAGTGGGGGGGCGGCTCATCGCTGTTGGGGCGTTGGGGCACATGCGTAAAGGCCGTTCAAGATATTTTCATTCTGCGTAGACCCCGCTGGCTCTCTGAGATGAAAGGACATGGGTCACACCACGGCACAGACGGCACCGCAACACCGCAACACCAGCAGGAGTCAGCGCGTAGAAAAGGAGGTGCTACAGCAGCAGCGAGGCAACGACGACCAAGAGGTGTGTGTACTACAGGTCAGTACAAACGCGGCCCGACAACGCCGGACGAAGAGTTTGCATAGCGTACATGTCAAAGGTCAAAGTGGTGGCTACGATCGTTGTTTTGTGTGTGTTTTGTTATGCATACATACCACAGTATATCCATCTCTGTCCTAGATAAGGGTCTAGGATTGGTAATGAATTCATATCTTTCTACGATTCCCCAAGAAAGATACAGCGATGTATCCCCTCTGTGCACCAAGCTCTCTTTCTACACAGAAAGTTAATTACACATCTGCATTTTTTTTTTCTTAATCCATCTCTATCTACTTACACAAAATAGTCCAAGATAGATTAGCAATGAATTCATAGCGTCAAAGAAAGCTACCTGTATTTCCACGGTTTCCCGAGTAGCACACAGCGATATCTCCCCTGTGGGTAACAGGCTCAACAAGACTGTTGGTGGCCGTCTTGTGCATCTATCTGTATGTTATCCTGGGAAGGTGCAGAAGGAAGGTGTTGGGTAGTTGGTTCGTCTTTTCAAATGCGGCGTGGCTCTTTGGATCCACGAAGCGATACGGCGCGTTTTCTTTCAATTGCTTTCAACAAGACACTTACGGCGCCCGCCGGCTGCTATGGATCGAAAGTAATAGATAAGGTGGCTGCCACTGCTGTGTTGCCCCTATCGGCCAGTGTGCGTGCTGCCCTTGGGTATTCGTGCACAAGACACCCACGCCAAACGATCAGAACTGGCTTTTCCTACCCCCCCCCCCCCCCCCCTCCAAATGGATTGTAAAGTAAAATAATGGCCCCAAATAATGGCCCCCTGAAAAATGAAA